GTGTAGTGGGTAGGGCACTTGTCTTTCATGCAGCCACCCTGGTTTGACCTGGAGTTATCCTGAGCTTAAAATTTTTATTACGTTTCCCTCCCCACCTTTATGGATGTTAAATTGATAAAAATTGTGTATACTTAGTATGTACAGCATTATGATTTAGTATATATTTGTAGTTATTACCATAATTAATCCAATATATGTGTATTTTACTTCACCTAGACTTGGGGAGGAGGGGTTGGTGTTTGGGTCATACCCAGAAGTGCTTGGGCCTAGGGAACCATCCTGTATCAGATGTTAAACCTGGGATCTACACCTGCAAAACATCCATTCCAGCCCTTTGAGCCACATCCCCCTAGTTACTTTTTCTCTTTGGTTAAGATATTTCTCTATGAAACCAGTTAAGCAAAGACTGAAAGGCTGGGGAAGGAAGAGAAGACCAGAGTTACTGTGGGGGTTCTGAGGTGGGGTTGGGGATTAGTAACTTTGTATATCAATGCCATGAATTTCAATACTATTATAACTTCCTAAACAATAATAAGTGATAATAAAATGAATAAAATAAAAGGGAAAATATTCTGTATGTTTTATATATATCAATAGTTCATTATGTGTTTGCTGTGAATCATATTTTCTTTATTCATCCATTGATGAATACACAAAATGAATCCATGTCTTGGTTACTGTGACACATTTCTATTTTTTTTATTTCTTTTTTTTTTTTTCAGTCACAGTGAGATCACAATTAACAAAGTTGTTCATTACTGGGTTTCAACAATTGTCCAACACCTGTCCCTTCACCAGTGTGCATTTCCCACCACTGGTGTTCCCAGTTTCCTTCCCACGTCCTACACTTTCCTTCTCCCTCTTTCTCTCCCCCTTCTTCTTTTCCCTCTCCCTCCTCTCCCCTCCGAGCCTTTTGGGTATTAAAGTTTGCATTACAGATACTGAAAGATTATCATGTATATCCCTTACATTGTACATACATCTAACACAATGGGATACTATGCAGCTGTTAGGAAAGATGAAGTCATGAAATTTGCCTATAAATGGATGGACATGGACATGCTGAATGAAGTGAGTCAGAAGGAGAGAGACAGATATAGAATGACTGCACTTATTTGTGGGGTATAAAAAAGTAGTATAAAAATAGTAGCCAAAGCTAGGAAAATGGGGCCTAGGAGGACTGATCAGTGGTTGGAAACTTGTCACAAGTGTGTGAGGGGCAAATGGCAGTTAATGATAAAGAAAGGCCCTGTATGACAATAATAGAAATGATCACTTTGGATAAGAATTGAGTGTTGAAAGTACATTTCTGTTTTAAAATGATAAAATGCTTCAACTTTTAGTATCAGATACTAAAAAGTTATACCACTTCAACAAAAAGGCGGGTGCTAAGGAAAATACACATTTCTTTCTTTGAGTTCTTGATATCTGACAGATCCTGGACTCTCAACATAAAACATTTTCCATTATTTTTGCATTAACAACAAACTTGATTTGGGACTAATAAAATACTGGTTACATTTTTGTTTTTCTTCTTAAATATTTCATTTTCAAAAACACTTGTACGTGATCTTTTTTTTACAATATTTATATATGAAAATCTTGAATTGAATTATACTAAATTAAAGTGCTCCCAACTCACATAAGGAAAAATTTAAGGAATCATTTCACAACATCTTCCAACTGTTTGAAATGGGTTTATCTTAATGATTTAGTTGAATGACTTACTGAGTGCCATAATGGAAGTGTAAATGAAACGTACGACGTGTAAAACTCTTATTTCAGTATTCATTCCACAAGTTCGGCATTTCCAAACTAGTACTTGGAACCGTTTATAATGTTAAGTATTTTAAGTTTTAGTATCTCAAAATAAACTCATTTGTTGAATGATTTAGCGTTTAAAATCTAAAATAAATGTTCAAAGTTCCCTTGCTTTCTTATTTGAAGTTAGAGTAACTTCAACTTCGTACATGGGATCCTCTTGGATCCTGTTTGAGAAAGAAAAAAAAAATAGAAGTTTCCTCTTCTAATGTTTACTTACTTGCTGGGAAGCTCATCAAACTCAGAGGTCTTCATTAAGATACTTTAGCTTTGAAAATAGAGTTTGAGTTTTAGGGGGGGAAAGTGTTACAGTTGACCTTTCATTGACCTTACTAAACCTAAATCCTTTGAAAAGTAAATTCAGAAAAATTTTTCAGATTGTTAAAATAGCATTAACATCCTACATCCATTCTAGAAAAACTGTTTCAAAATGTCTTCCCTTTTTTCTGTTTTTTTCTTCAATTAACATATTAAAAGTTTTCTTATCTTAAGATACTTAGAGATCTAAAATTTTTATATGGAATATAATAACAGATGCACTTGGTGTGAATAATAGAGAATACAGTTCATTGCTTAGTACAGTAAACATTATTAATGCGGTTAGTGCAAGAAGTCATATTATTCAGTGAAAGCCATAGTAGCATTGCTAACGATCTTCCTTTAAGTACTTCAGGGAAGTTCCCAGTAAGGGAACCACCCCACCCCAACCACCCCACACTTTTGCTTACTGCCAGTACATGCAAGATTTCATTTCCAAGTAAATCTGCCTATATCAGTTATCCAGTCTAAACATCACAGAAGTTGTTAAGTTTCCCAAAGCAAAGTTTATCCTTCTTTTCCCCCACCTTCTATTGCCCACTCCTCAGTTAGGTTTTTTACTTCTTTAATGTCAAAAAGCATGGTTTTTTTTGTAGTTTATGTCAAAAATTAGTGCTTTGAAATTGGATATTGTTCTTTATTACTTTCCTTTTCAAACTAAAACTATAAGGTAATTTTTAGTCCTGCCTAATTTCTACATTTTTCCATGTTGAGAATTTCTAGTAGTAAATTTTTAAGGAGTTAAATCATTCTGTTTAATCACTTATGATTTGTTGAGCATATTCTCAGATGTTTTTGTACTCTTAATATTGCTTTTTCTCTAGTTTTGTTAAGTAGATTTAGCATAGTTTTTAAAAAGATTCTTGGGGCCAAAGAGATAGTACAGTATGTCGGGTGCTTGTCTTGGATATCACTGACCTGGCATCCCATATGACCACAGAAATGTAATTTCTGAGTGCAGTAACCCCTGCCAGGTCCAGTCCAAAAATCAAAATTAATTAAATTATTTTAATCTTGGAGAATACTCATTGGTTGACTAAAATTAAAATGTTACCATTCTTCATAATCCATAAAAAAATCCATTGAGTGTTCTAATTAGACATAACAACAGGAGAACCTTACTACCAATTTTATAAACAAAATGTGAATACAAAAATGTCTTCTGATGTAAATACTTTATAAAGCTTAATAATGCAGTTTTAATCCAGAAGACTTGACCTAAATACTTGTCAGACAAAAGTATATAGAAACAAATTATTTTACCTCAATCTGACCATGCAAAATAACAATTGTGTGGGTGCAATATTTTTATTTTACTAATCACTACTAAGTAATACTCTATTTTAGAAATGTGAAGAGTGAGAGAGAGAAAAGAAAAGTGCCTGCTATAGAGGCTGGGGTTTGGGGGGAGGAGGAACAGGGGATATTGGTTGTGGGAAACATATTGCTGAAGGGACTGGTGTTGGAACATTATATGACTGAAACCCAATTATGAACAACTTTGTAACATATCACCCTGATTCAATTAAAAAAAAATTTAAAGAAATGTAAAGCAGCCACTTGTTATTTATAAAAACTGAGGGTTGAGAGTGGGAAGTAATACACTTAAATGGAGAAAATTTTGAAGTTAAAGGAAGATAAACTAGAACCAAATCCTCACTTAATAAGATTCCTAAAAAAGTTGAAAGAAACTTTTGAAAAGCAAGATTAAGCAGAAATATACTCTGATAAGCCTTATAATGAAGTAAAAGTCATATATTTTAGTAATTGCTACACTGACCTTAATTGAATAAAATCAAAAAGGTCTATGAGTTGATTTGAATTTGAATTTAAGACCATTTCGATTTTGACCAAATTGTAGTTTATGAGTATACAATTATTGGAAGTCACATATTTAAATTCATCAGTTTATATCTTTACTAGTTATACAAAGTTTTCTTGCTTTCATTAGAGATTTTTTAAAGAATCTAAATTTTACTGTTATATTTTATTTAAATAGCAGAATAAATGTAATACCAGAATAAACCACAGGGTGGGAGTGAAAGGTAAGAACTGTGTTGAAGCAGCTGAAATTTATAATTACATTGTAGAATGCTTATAATGGTAAGGATTTGTTGCTTAATTTTTTTTTAATTCCACTAATACTACTGTAATCCTCAGTAAAGAATTTATAAAAAAAAAATTAAAAGCAGGCCGAAGAGGTGGAGCATATGCTTTGCATGTGGAAGCCCAGGTTTGATCCCTGGTACCACATGGTTCCTTAAGCTACATACAGCTCCTGAGCACTGCCTAATGTAACCCCAAAAAGCCACAAAATAATAAAATATAAAAATATATAAAAATAGTAAAGTGAGCTTGAGAGATAGTTTAGTGTGCTAGTGCATATGTTTTGCATGCAGAAGGACTGGCTTCAAACCCCAACACCATTTGTTCAAGCACAGCCAGGAGTGCCCACCCAGTACCACTGGGTAGGCCAAAAATTAAAAAATAATAATTAAAACATGAATTTACATGTACAGACCAATAATAGAAGTATAAGATTTTCCCCTCTAAAGTTTCAGGTTTTATCGGGTATTAGGCAGTCTGAGTACTAATTTTGGTCAAAGTGGAATTTGAGGAAATTCCTTGAATTAAGGGTCTGAAATAGTAATTTGCAGAGTTTTAAGAAATACTGCATGCCTCTCCCTAGTTTTCTGCCATTATTTTTCTTTTTCCCTGATTGTTCTTTTTGAAGTAAAAATTGTATACATTTTATATATGTGTAAATAAGAAAGATCAATTTTTTCATTATGTTTTCTATTAACCCATTCTCATTTGAGTTTAGAAGCAATTTAAAGTGATAATCATCTTATATCTTTAAGGTAAGAAGACAAGAGGCTTCTCCTAGAAAAGAAACTTCACCCAGGAGTTTTCCCTTATTCCATGAGAGGTAGTTTTATATACTTTTTTTGCCAACTCTTAAAAAAAATAAAAACTGTAATTGAAATATATTTTTATATATTTTAAATTGTTAGTGAGTAGAAGAAAATAACAGCCTTTAGAATTAGAGGACTATTCAAGATTCCTTCATATTAAAATGACATTTTAAATAAGTCATACTCAATAACAAAGATGGATCTAAACACAGAATTCTCTAAAGCTCTGATATTCAATATAATTGTAGCTATGTTGGTTTGTAGGACTGAATCTTAGTAGAATCCTTATCAAAGTTATGAATGTTCCATTTTCTTCTCTTAGGATGTTTACAAAGAACAATAGTCATTCAATAAACTGAAATTTTTATGTGAGAGACAGCCAGTATTAATGTTATATATGAGTAAAATATATGCTTACCTTCACTATTTATTTATTAGAACTTTCATCACTTGTTTCATGCAAAACTCTTCAAACATCAGTGTTATGTTTGAGAGCATTTTGTTGGAATTTAAAGTAATTGTTTTTAACTTTATCCTTTCAGTAATTGTTTTGTGGTATATAAGAAAGGGTTGGTAGTCACAATTTTAAAAATATTTGAAGATATAGCCTTATATGATGAATTATTTATTTTTAGGGATGGTATAGAGAAGACTTTCTGGGATCTGAAACAAGAATTTCACAGAATATGCGTACTAGCAAAAGGACAAAAAGATCACTTAAGCAAACTTAATATCCCAGATATCACAACTGGTAAGGATAATTAAATGTACAGTGATACTCATTTTACTGGTGAAAATTTATTTCAGTCATAAATATATTTTTAAATATTAAGGTTTGGTGGTTTGCGCCTCCGATCACTTATCCTGTGTAAGTACTATTTAAGTTCTATAATTCATTAAGTTACAGAATTGTTGGCTTTTTCTCATGATATGGCACTATGAGATTGAACTGAGTAATTAATAATCTTCATGAAAATTTGAATATTGGAAAAATACAAAATAAATACAATATATACCTTTCAAAGTCTTCCATCACTCTTTAAGTCTTATTAAACATTAATTTGTATTTAGTAAACAGCCTTGAAGCCATACTACCAAATATGAACTAAGTAAAATAATAACATTAAGTTTGTTTTTAACTATCAATAGGTTCTTGCAATTTGGGTCAAGAAGTAACCATTTCACATTTCATGAGTCCAGTTTTATTGTAGGCACACAGTACAAATTTAGTATAAATATAAATACATACATATGTGTTGCAGTATGTTTTGTGAAAGCTCCACCCTCCCTCCAAACCCCAGATTGACTTCCTGGAGTTTGCTTCCTAAATTTTGATGATATGAATAGCAAAATATCAGGGTTTGAAGCTGACTACCAAGCATTCTGTAAACAAAAGGAAGGTAAACTGATCATTTATAATAATAACTTCTCTTTTACCCTTGTGATTCAAGATATTCTGCATACAATTCCCAAGAGATGTGATTTACAGTTTTCACTCTGAAAGATGTTGCAGCAGTGCTGACTAGCACCCCTTTATAATTAAAGATCACTTTCTCTTTCTTACAGCTCTTAAATCCAAGCTATTTAAAAATCATTTTATAGTGCAAATTTACTTTTTGCTTACTATTGCCATTTTGTTTTCAGAAAAGGTACAGAATGAAGAAACAAGCTTTATATTTTAATTCTCCTTCCTTCTGCTTCTCTTCCTGAAAGAATTTCATTTTCTAGCTTAACTTTTATCATTTTCATGAGAAATTGACCTCTTGTATAGACTAAAGACATTTAAGGTACTTCTCAAGTAAAAAAAATGGTTTTTTTAAATATATTAACCATAAGATGTGGCACCTAGAATTCATAAACATGCGTTTTTTTGAACATTAGCATCTTATCAAAACATTGTAATGGTGATATATTCATTGTTACACAGAGAACCTTTCCCATTATCAATAGCGTAATACTTTGACCATTTTTAAATTGCATAGGTCTTAATCTGAGTGTGTATCTGTCAAGTAGAGCTCTGAGTGTTTAACTCAATTTCTTCCTCACAAAAATTGCTTCCTAACATTATTCTTCTTCTTTATATTAACTGCATTACAAATAATTCATTCTTCAGATATTTTTGTTTTGTTGTGCAGCAGTTTCCAGTCAAGGTTTTATAGGTGCAAACAGAAACCAGAATACCAAACTTCTGACAAAAAGGGGGGGGGGGGGAGTATGTTGGAAAAAAATACCTATTCAGGGTTTTGGGTGTATAACACACTAAACTATTTCATGTGTGATTTGCATAGTATATCCATAAAATAGATTTTATTACTTTTACTTTTTGTTTAGATTTGAGGCTGCTTTTAAATATGTAACTCATAAAAATTGTTGAGTTAGTAGAATTGTTTCTCTTTTATTACGTTTTCCTTCTCATCCACATATGGCAACATTCTTGAGAGAAGATAAATATTCAAAATGTATGTTTGAGCAAATTGAATTCATAAAAAATACTATTTGGTCCATAAAGCCCTGTTTTAGTGGCAATTCAAGCCCAAAATATATGAGTAAATGTTACAATCATAAGATCTTTTTCTTTTATCATTAAGCCTACTAATTAAGAAATACTCTAAATGGGTAATCTGTACTTAAAATTTAAAAATCTATGGTTTTTCTCATTTTACTTTTTCCTTGCTTAAAATAAGTGTTCTTGGAGCCAGAGAAATAGTACAGTGAGTAGGATGTTTGCCTTACACATAGCTTAACCCAAACTCAATCCCCAATACCACTGGTGGTGGTCCATAGGCCCCAGTAGGAGTAAGCACTAAACACTACTGGGTGTGACCCAAACTCTTCCCAAATCCCCCAAGAAAAGGAGTTCTTGAAAGAAACAAAAGAGAAAAATAATTTACTCACCTGATCGTATTTCTCAATAGTGTTTAAATTACAAGTGTTTTCTTGAACCTCATTTGTGTTTTTAGTTTACTGAGTTTATATTTCTAGTGGCATTAGAAATCTTAGGTTTGAATTTTTTTTAATTTTATAGCTAATAACTCTCAGTGAGCAGATTAATTCAGAAGATTTTTTAATGTAGTTGAGGTATGCCAGCTAAGTATACAAAAAGAAAATATTTTATTACAACTCTTTGGTTTTTTCATGTTTTCTTTACAAGAGGAATAGATCAGCTACTTAGAAAAGAAATTCAGAGCACGTCTCTGTCAGTTGGGGACTTCTCTATGTATAGAAACCAGGATGTTCAGTTGAACATAATGGTTCAGAGCACTAACTCTGGAGTTAAGCTGCCAAGGTTCCATTGCCAGATCTGCAACTCATTCATAAGCTGTAGAGCCTTGAAATTAACTTCAACTTTTCACATGTAAAGCATTGATAACATAATGCTTATCACAGGATTATTTTGAGTATTAAATGAATTAATGAACATACAGTTATAACAATGCATAGCACGTAAAGACCTAATGTTAGTAGTAATACTTATTAGCAGATTTTTCAGTGTTCATCTTGTTCTCTGTGAGAAGATCATTTTGATAAGTGCTTCTTTCTCATGTATAATACAGTTTGGTTACCTCAACAGTTTGTTTTCCTGATTTGCTTAGCAAGTGTTACCTATAAAGGAACTACTTAGACCAAAGAGAATACAGTGGGTGGTTAGGATGGTTAATATTGCACAAGGCCAACTAAGGTTCAGTTAAGTTACCAGGATGATTATTTGAGGGCTTGCAGACATTAACAGCATCAAAAGTACCAAAAAAAACAATTCTGCTAAACAGTTAAGCTTGAACTCAATTACTATATTACTTTGAGTCACAAAATAGCTGGTAAATATAGATTATTATACTACAGGCTCTGTGGGGAAGAGGATACAGATTTATGAAGAAAGCATTTATTGAGGAATCCTAAATGCTAGGTAAGGGCAAGATACTGAAGTCAGTCAAAAACAAAGTATAGCTTAGGGCCTCAAGAAAGTTACTTTAGGACCCAGAGGAGTAGGTCAGGGGCATAGACCTCCTTTCACTGGCAAATATCTTAAAATATTTGCAAGGTTAAATCCCTGATGTGCCACATGCACTGAGCTTGACTATACTATTAGTGATCCCTGGCACCACAAACGATTCTAGCCACTGGAACATATGTATAGGCTCCATAGAAAAGGATACAACTCCTAGCAAACATAGAAAAAAATTTTAAAAATGTGCAAGTGTCATGGGCAAGGAATATGTCCTGGTAAATAACACAGAGACCCCCAGCAAGCACCACAACCAGAACGTGTGTGCCCCTGTGAACACTGGCAGATACCACAAGTAAAGGAGTGCAAACCTTAAAGAGGAGTTTGCTGGGTGTGCAGCACCACAACCTGATGTGCAACCCTCTATAAGCACCACAGCCACATGTGTGTATCCCCATTCAGTACAACAGCAACCAAGTTGGGTGGAAGGAGATTCAGAAAAAGATGGGAGGCCATCCCTGGCAGTAACCAGGACTTGCTCCTGGCTCTGCTTGGGGATCACTCATGACAGGGCTCAGAGGACCAGATGAGGTGCTGTGAATCAAACCCAGATTATTCACATGCAAGGCAAATACTGTACCCAACATATTATTGCTCTTGCCCCCAAGAGACCTACTTTAACTGAAGAAGGATCGGTTTCCAATAAGTATAGTGAGAGTGTTTTGTTTTCTAAGCGTGCAAGTGCCCTGCCTGAACTGGTCTTGGGGAGCCAGAAAAACGAATGTCAAAGCAAGAGATGGAAAACAAAATAAATTACCCAAAGAGGAGTGGAAAGGGACATTTTGGGTAGTCTGTAGAATATGTCCAAAGGTCCAAAGATGAGATCCTAGCTATTTTGCAGAACCATATAAAGATTTTTATAGCTGCCGTCAGGGTTGAAACAGGTATGTTGAAAGAGGAGAGCGTGGAATGGTGACCTGGGTCAAATCTTGAACAATTGTGTATTCTTTTCTGAGGACTTGAGGACCTTGGAGGGTGTAAGCAAGGTAAGATGACAAAATTTAAACTTGAGATGACAAAATTTATACTTGAGAAGAACTAAATGATTGGGTAACAAGAACTAAATGAGTAAGGAATGCACTGGACCTGAGATAAATGTAATAGCAGAAACAGTTCAGGGGACAGAGAGATAGCTCAGGGCTTAAGGTGTTTGCTTTGCATGTGGCTGACCCAATTCAATCCACAGCACTGCATATGGTTCCCCAAGCACAAAACCAGGAATAGACCCTGCGCATTACCACGTGTGATCCCAAAAACACAAAGTAAGAAAACAGTTCAAAGACTTGTAATAATCCAGTAAGAGAAGACGATATAAGAGACATAGCTCAAAGGGTTGGACTATGTGGTCTTTGTACAGGAGGCGTAGATTTCGTCCCCAGCAACCATACCAGATGGTCTCCCAAGCACCTCTGGAGTTGGCCTCGAAACAAAACGGTGAAGAGAAGATGATAGGTAATAAAAATAAATTTTTTTTAAATGGCAGTAGGTATATAATAGGGTGAGCCCACTTAATTTTTATGCCTGCTGCTTCCAGTACTGTGCACAGTTAGTTGCACAATGCTACAGTTATGTCCAAAAAGAAATTATCCTGGCACAGGAAAGATAGAGTCCCAGGAAGGTTAAGACACTTCACCTTCTACTTGGCTGACCCCTGCTCAATCCCTGGCACCATATATGGTCCCCTAAGCATTGCCAAGAGTGATTGCTAAGCATGGAACCAGGAGAAAGCCCTGAGCACCACCAGGTATGGCCCAAAAACCAGAAAACAGAGACAAAAAATTGTGTTGAAATGTGCTGTGGCAATGATAAAAAGGTAACAGGGACTACATAGGTCAGAAGGGAAAGGAGCTGTCATTTGTTAAATACCTACTAACCTAAACACTCACTGTACAGAATACTCTCAAATGTTCACTGTATCCATCATATGTAAAGTTTCTGTTTGTGAATATAAAACTTCATTGATAACTACTTCTTCAAAGTTCTGAGGGAATTGATGCTTTTTCACCATTTAACAAAAATGCACATACTACCATATTCCCTGACTTTTTGAAGTAACATTGTGGAATATGATTGAACTTTTTCTGATGTCTCGGAATCATCAACATGAAGGGTGTTTTGGCTGTTTTGATGGAACTCGTTTTTTTGGGCGGGGGGTCTCTTTTCTTTTTCTTTTTTTTTTTTAGTGTCTTTTTAAATTATTATTATTATTAGAAATATAACCTTTGTCAGCCTTATGTTAAATTGAAGTGTTGGAGTGTTTACAACTGCTTTTCTTGTTTTTCTTGTCTCAAGGTTTTTCAGCTCCTGCTGCTTCTCTGATCTTGTCTGCCTTCTACATCTCATATTTGTCTTCTACTTTTCTGCTTCTAACTAACACTGAGCTAGGGAAGTATTAGGCTTATCCATAATAAATCTGAAATAAGAATCAGAAAATGTCACATTTGTATGTATGAGCCTTATGGCTCTATTTTGGACTCTTCGTCTTTTCCCTGTAATCTAGAGAGCTGAATTCTTTGTGTAAGTGGTTTCTATATAATGGGGCTGTGGAGGCTCAGTATCTATCTATTATCTTGAGAGGCCTTTTTGAAAATATTTCTGTATAAGATGAGAAAATCATAAATTCATTCAGTTTTTCTAAATATTCATCCCAAATTTTCTTCCTTCTGTGCCACCAGTGTTTCCTTTTTCCCCAACCCCAACCCCAGCCCCACCACCACCTCTCCCTGACATCATGAGTTATTGAGAGTAGACAGTTGCTAATTTGATTTATTTTGTCACATAATGTTATTAGGGGAAATAAATAACCCAACTCATAGATTTGTAACCTGTTATATAATATATATATATACATATATATTCCATTTAACAACTTATTTGTCTAAGCAAGCTCACAGTTGCAGCTTCCATTACTGACAAAATGTTTAAATGTATACACTACAAGCAAATGTTTTTAAGTGTAGAACAGTATAACTGTGAACAAGATGCAAAGCATACAGCAGAAGACCTAGGAACAGGCAAAGTAGTTAAATTGTGACTAATAAGCTGTGTTCCATTTCACCCCAGGAGACTACAAATATTCCTGTGTAAAATGATAATAAATATTAAAAATCCCACTTGTTTTCAGTTGCTATAAAAATAGAAAAAAAATTACTTTCCAAAACTGATTGAACATTCAGATTTTTAAGAATGATTGAATGTGACTGTTTTCCTTTTGTGTTCTTTTCCCTGCAGAAACACAGTGCTCTGTGCCTATACAGTGTACTGATAAAACAGATAAACAAGAAGCGCTGTTTAAGCCCCAGGCTAAAGATGATATAAATAGAGGTGCACCATGTATCACATCTGTCACACCAAGAGGACTAGGTGGAGATGAGGAAGAAACCTCTTTTGAATCACTTTCGAAATTCAATGTCAAGTTTCCACCTATGGACAATGAATCTGCTTTCTTACATAGCACTCCAGAAAGACACAACATCCTTGTTCCTGCCACATCCGCCCTTGTTCCTGCCACATCCGAGGCAGCATGCCAGGATAAATTTAATGTGGAGCTCAGAGACAACCCCAGAAACTTTGTTAAAACAGAAGAAACTTTATTTAAAATTCCGGGAATTGACCCCATAGCTTCAGCAATAAGAAACCTTAAAACAACTGACAAAACAAAACCACCCAATCTTGTAAACACTTGCATCAGGACAACTCCGGATAGAGCTCTGTGTTTGCCACCTGGAGACCATAATGCATTATATATAAATACATTCCCACTTCAGGACCCATCTAGTGCTTCTTTTCCTTCACTTGATTCCCCAGGAAAAGCTATCCGAGGACCACAGCAGGTAACTGTTTTGCATTAGCAAATATATTATGTGTGAACACACATTTGCCATGCATCCACTGATATGCTTCTCTTTCAGGTTATCAAACATCCTTTTTAAACTTAATAACTAGCCAAAGTTTAGGCATTCAATAAGAAATCCAAGCCTTAGAATAATAGAAAATTACAGAAGATAGTTTATAAGTATCAGTAAAGCTCTATTATAAAGTACTTTAAAATTTTTGGTATTTTTTAAGCTATATATAAGCCTTATCAATATCAAATACTTGTTACATAAAGCTTTTTTAATCAGCATCAGTATACAATAGGATTCTTTGTAAAATTTAATACTGTAAAACGGCAGTTTATATGAAAAAGTTTTTTTACAAGACTGATTTTTCATGAGTAAATCACATCCTACATCCTTTTTATCAGAATATGTGAACTGTCTTTCAATTAGTATTTTCCATCACATTCTTAATTACACATTACATAGATGTTTGTTTGTTTTAATCAGGAACTAAACATGCAACCAGTGTATTTTTAAAATAGTTTCTACATATGTGTGATATTTTTAATCAAATACATTCATGTTTATAAAGCCGAATAACTGCAGCCTTTCTATCAACTGCTGTGGCCCCTTTTATTCAGGTTTTATCACAAAATGTTTCTTATAGTTATTTAAAATAATGTCTACATGCAAAAAAATTATGTCATTGTTAGAATAAACAGAAGCTTATGAAAAATACAGATTGATGTAAATGTCTTCTATGACTTATATTTGATTTCTTTTTCTCTTGAGATTTAAAAGCCAGCAACTTGTTGGTTTTCTAAGTACTGTTCTAAGTTGTAGACTTTTAAATTAAGGATACTAGAACATACTAAGCATGCTAAGGAGGCAGTAGTCAAGCTGTGGTATAATTTAGTAATGGAGAAAACTAGGCACCTCTGACAATAAGCTTTAATTATAAACTCACTTATGATCTCATTGTACCTTATTTCACATCATAGTCTCAGTTATAGTTACCACGAAATGAAACAAATTAAACAATTTCATTTATTACAAGTAGAATTCCTGGGGAGCTGTGAAGTGCATCAGTTCTAATGCTTGTTACTTTTTTCTCCATTACATCTCTTGCATGTTCTTTTACTAGTTAGTCTGTGCATTCATGTTTCAGTAGATGGCACCCTGCATTGTGCATTTGCTTTCTATGCTACAGCAAGGGAAACAGCTGGTATGTGATTACAACTTGATGGAAAAGTATTCAGCTTAAAAAATGCAGAAGAATTGGTGTTGAGCTGTCACAAGACATGGGGCATAAGGTTAGATAATTGATATTTTGGCAGAAAAAGCAAAGAAATTAGTTTGTTTTGAAGGCCATGTTACAGTTCAAGATTGGAAAATATTTCTTAAGACGAATTCTTAAAAAAACAATTGTATTAATAAAGCAAGTCTGATAAATACAAAATACTTGAGTTACAGAGAAGTAAAAATTTTATTACTTATTTCAGACTTTTGCTTCATATCAGTCATTATTAATCATCTCTCCCTTTATAGTACATTCAGCTATCAATAAAATCTTATAGTATATTTGCTTACTTTTGCTCCTTGTCAATTTTTCCATCCTGTTTTTGCTGAGTCAGTGACTGGGAACCTAACTGAATTCTATGAAGAGATCAAACCTTAACTAATATCTCCTACAATCTAGAATAAATGTGAACATTGAAGATAAATTAGCAGAATATTGACTCACCAAATTTAGAATCTAAGTTGTTTCTGTGTTTTACTGTTGTACAGATCTTAATAAGAATTATTTTGAACATCAGAATATTATTTTTGTATTCACTTGCATTAGAGTGGTACATGTTAATGAATGTACTTTTTGATAACCTACAGACAGTACAGTTTAAATTTAATTATCTAAATTTTTACTTATATTATTTTCATCAAAACAAATAGTTCTCTAAAAAGTATTTTACCCAAGATTTTAAAATATTTTTTAAGTAGTAGTAATATTAATTCATGATAGGAATACTGCCTGTTCACAAAAGAAAGTTGAGCCAGTGTTATCAAAGCTTTCTGAACTGATTAAGGAGATACCATCTTATTACCTAGACAAGACTTTATTTATATCCACTGTACACAGCTGTCTAGTATAATGTTCATAAGACAGCGATGTCCTGAAACTTAGTACTTGAATTAGTAATACACCTTTTATGTAAAAGATTGGTTAACTAAAATGAAAGAAAGGAATGAAAACTAACACTTTCAGGTATGAGACTGTGCTGTTACTTTTATGAGTATATTAGTAATGGCAGTACAAAAAAGTATCTTTAAATTGACTATGTCAGAGTAGGAAAGTAAATTTAAAGAATTTGCTCACAACATTTCAGTAAAATAAAACATTGTAAGTAGTGAACATTTATTGAGCATTTGTATTAAATGTATTTCTTGCTGTTTTGGATGTGTTTGTGTTTTTTAAATAAATACAGTTATTTAAAGGTATTTTTTTTTTTGCTGCTCATGATAGAGGTAGGTCTGCTACTGTATTGTGATTTTCCATAATATACTAATTAGACAGCTATTGACTGATTTCATTTTATCAGGTCAGACAAAGCAATAAACAGCAGCAGCAAAATAAGTCAAAAGCTTGTGTTCAATGTTCGATCTTGTTGGATGATTAAGTACTTGGGATTTTTTTTTTTTAAAAAATGGTCAATAGAAATTGAGTACTTTAAAAAGAGAAAAATTATCTTTTAAAAATCAAAATGCCAGGGATGTGGCCCAGCATAAAGTGGGCATAAAATGTATGCATGAGGCCCTGGGTTTGATCCCAGTTCTGCTAAATAAATTTTATTCCTATATAATTTATTCATTGTATATTATATATTTAAATGGTAAAATTGGGATTACATAATTAAAATGCTTATACTTATCCTGTTTCATACTCTGAGTATAAGGTCTTATGATTGGAAGTTTTTATTTTAAATTTAACAAAAACTGAATTTTTAAAACTTTTTAATTGTTCCAATACTACTGCCATTATGATAACAGATATTAAAATCTTCAGGTATTAAAACCGATTCTTAAATATATAAAGGTAAAAGAACATGAATGTGTATTTTAAGTGGCTTTTAATAAAGGTTATTTGTGCCTTTTATGTAAGAGAGAAAGGCATGTCCTCCTAAGTGGAAAGGCAATTTGCTTTCAAATTAAGGAATTTCATATATTCGCATATAATCTAGTTTAAAAATTGAATTTGAAATGTGCAGGTTGATTTTTACATGCAAATAACAAAAGATGTTTTTATTTACCTTTTTTCTTGCAGCCTGTTTGGAAACCCTTTCCTAATGAAGACAGTGACTTATTTGTATTAAATGGCACAGCCTCAGAACTGGATATACCTCGACACTGTGAATTCTGTCAAGCAGTTTTCCCACCATCTATTACAGCCAGGGCAGATTTCCTCCGGCATCTTAATACACACTTTAATGGGGAGGCTTAAAAGACATTTGAGAACAGACGTAACAGGTTCTATATGATGATTTTGAGTTTGAAATGCAGCATTACAAACGTTAAATATCATTTAAAAAATCTAGTGTCACAGGTATTTGAATAACTGTATCTAGACTTATAACTTTCTTTTGAAATATACTTTGTACAGAACTATAATTCATTCTATTCATGTTAATATTTTTTATTACCATAATTCAAAATGATTTGTGGTTTATAAAGTTATATAATCATAATTTTTATTTATTTCATGTATCTAAGCTTAGTGCTTAGATTTCTAGTTAGATCTATTGAATTCATTAATGAAAAATGTTTATAGGGATTTCTACATTTGTTTTCATTTAGAAAATTATTTATGCTACAGGTAATACTTCTTTTTTTAATGAACTAGCCTAATGGAGAAGAGCAGACAAAATATCTTAACCCAACCTAGGATATTTGTTGCCCAGTGATTAAATTACTAGTAGAATTGTTTAATACTTTAGGCTATTTTTTTAATGATACACATATTTTTCACTTTTAATATGTACATAACTTTGGGATGAGTTAAAATATTAAAAGTTACTTATGTTGTGAGCATTGTGTTTTTTTTCTTAGTCATTTTTAAAAAAGGAAATCATAACTGGGGAAAGTTCTTAAAATTTGTGTTTTCTTTCCAGTTATTTGGTGGAATAATAATACCAGATTGGGTGATACTCCATTGCAAGGAATGGATCATTCTTAATTTTTTAGTTATTTTTGAAATCATACTTGCCAAAGAAACATGTTTGTATTTATTAGAAGCAAAATTAAAGTTGAAAAAAAAACTATCCATATTTATACTAGAAATGTTGGCATTCTTGAGAAATTTGTTCTTAGCAACCTAGTTGGTAGTCACTGGAAGATAATTGAGAGAATACCAAATTTTATTTAAATTGAATATTCTTTTTCATTTTTGTCCCCTGTAATTCTAGCCATTTACGTTTTGCTTTCCCCTGATTTTAAAAAATGAGTCATAACTCCCCTTTTATGAAGTAAACATTGATTTGCAACTCTCAAAACAAATTTAAGCCTTCTCTGGAGCTTGCAGTTTTAGAAAGCTGCAAGGTTTTCTGATGGGAAATTTGAGAAGGCCTCAGAGCTACAGTTCAGAGCCTTGACTTGTAGAAGAATGAACATGGTACATCGACTTCTCAGGATGCGGAGCACATCACATTGACATCTTCCTCACCTAGGTGACATAAGATTATTAGGCATTCACTGTGAAGGGTTCTGAGGCATGTATATCTTTCATTGCCACTGGGGCTCATTGGAAATGCCTAGACAATTAACTGAGTCTCTTCCCTTCCCCCCTACCTCCTGCCTCCCCAACCTCCTCTGTCACATAACACCCCACCACCACCACCACACACACACACACACACACACACACACACAAATAAAAACTTCCCAGCGAGTACCAGATACAGTATATCTTCTCATAGGGGTTTCTTCTACACCTTTCTTCCAGAAGAGAGAGACCCTCTAGCAACTCTATCAACAACCAAAGGAAGTTAGTGCTAGGAAAGCCCCTTGTCTAATCCACTCATTTCCCATTTGCACCTCTTTTAGTAAGAGCCAGGTACTCAGATCTCAAATGTTCTCTTGTGGGGCTCCAGTGCTACCCTAAGCTCCAACTTCCAAGGGACAAAAGCCCCTCGTGTCCCTGAAGTGGCAGCATGGAGAACCTACTCCTGTCCAGCCCTGGCAGAGGTGGCGTTCGCGGTCATTTGAAAGGTGGGGTGGGCACCTGCCAGGTCTCTCCCTCTACCTCTTAATTCTGAGTCGTGCAGGGGCTGCAGCTTGGCATCTGCTAAGCGTGGCCGGGTTAAGAACAGCTCCCAGGTAAAAAAGCTGCACACGCGAAACGCTGAGTCTGAAAAAACCACCCCCGCCGAGGCAAGGCAGTTGTGAGCGGGATGCCTGAGATGTGGGAGGTGAATGTCCTCGGGAGGGCCCCCCACAGCCCCCCCGTGCAGCTTTCCCCGGAGGCTGAGGCTGCTGCCAGCGGGGACATCTGCTTTCTTACACTCCAGCCTGGCTCACCCCGCCCCCTCAGCCCGGGTTGCGTGGTTATTTTACCAACACGGGGGGTGGGGGGGGGGGGTGCAGGAGCTCGAGGAGGTAGATAAGGGGTGGATGGAGGCTCAGGAGATGTTCTTCCCACTCCCCCACGTCCCCTCCTTTTTTCTTCACATCTTTTAACCTTCAAGGTAAAGACTTTATAAATACGAAACGATAAGCGTGCCCGTGGCTGGTGGGCCCGCCTTCTGCTCTCTGAGATCTTGGGTGCCGTGTGGCGCGGCGCCTGGCCCGTGTCTCCGGCCTCGTCTGGTCGGGCGGGCCCTGGGCGGATGGGCTGGGCGCAGGGGCCGGCCGGGCCGCTCAGCCTGCAGTGCCTTCTCTACCGGCTGCTGCCTCGACAGCTGCTTGTAGCCACAGTAATTAGACTGTCAGTGCTTGTTAGAGGAGAGAGGGGAAAAACAGGCTTCTGACAGCAGATTCCGAGACTCCCCAGTTTGTTAATTTCTAAGAGATCTTTAAAGCATTAATTGAGGTCTCCCCAACTCTCCCCTCCCGCCCCTCTCTCTCCCCTACTCCTCCCTTCCCCAAAATATCTTTGGGAGAAAAGAATTCTCTCCGCGTAGAAGTAGCGTTTCCCTGCAAAACTGCAAGCCCGCCTCCAACTCACGCATATACGCGGGATTTTACATATACATATATACATACACACATACATATATATGTACACATGTATACGTTCAAGGTTAACTCGGAAGAGGCCTCGTCCAAATAGGAACCAGGATTGCATTTAAAATAATAATAATAAATAAATAAACGAGGAAGAAGGGGGGGAGGGAAGCAGAAGTCGGGAAGAAAAGAGAAAAGCAGCAGGCTGATTACGAGGTGTCAAAACTGCCAGGAGCAAGAAGGTGATAGCAATCAGGGGTGAGAAGAGTGCGGCATTCGTGCGGGGCAACTAATTATCCGTCTCATTTGAGAAGAGCAGCATTTGAGGCAGCAGCGTTCGCCTGCTGAACGGTGACAGATTGGCGCGGAGGAGAGGGGAGGTGTTAAAACAATGGAGCCGGGCGCGCGAGCGCTGCTGCATGCTAATCAGCCCTCCCTCCGCCTGCCTGCCGCGCTCCCTCCTTCCTCCCGGCCTCCCTCCTCCGCGCTCCCTCCTCCCGCCTGCGGCGCTCCCTCCTTTCCAGCGGGCCCGCCGCCGCCACCCGCTTCCTGATCCCTCGCTTTCCCGCGCGTCCTGCCCGCCGCTGGCAAGTGGAGCCCCGCCGCCGCCGCCGCGTCCCTCGAGGCTCGCGCGCCCCTGCCCAGGCTCCCCCGGGCCCCCTCCGCTGGCCCGGCCGCACGCGCGCCGCCGGCGACGCCACATGGTGCGAGGCAGCCTCGGCCTGAGCCCAGCGCCCACTCCACGGGCGCCTCCCGGAGAGGCGGGCCAGGACCCCGGTGCTGGGGCACACGTCCTGGAGGAGAGGTGAGAAGCCTGCACCTTCGCGCTCGCCTGGCTTTCCATTGCTCAACGGAACACGTCGGGGCGGCGACGTGAATTCAGAGAGGGTGAAGGACACACGGCCGGCCAGAGGTGGGGAGACAGTCGATGCCGAAGAGGAGGCCTCTGGATGGGAAGGCCCGGCCTAGCGCTACTGCTACCCCTTGTCTCCTAAATGACCTGCAGAGCTGCCCCGGGCCCTGTAGCTGGTGAGGTCAACCCTCAGCGGGTGCACCGACACCTTCCTCTCCCCACCAAGCCCACGCTCCCTGGACTGGAAGAGAGGCGCCCTGAATGGAAGACAAAGGCCCTTGGCCCTAGTGGTACTTTGAAGACTTGACCTCCCTACCCCAAACTAATCTAAGGACCATCAGAACCTCCAAAATAAATCCTGAAACCAGTCTGACACTCTGACCCACTGAGACCTGAAGGCCCCAAGCCAGACCGTATATCTGGGGCTCCCGGCCCTCCAGCCTGGTCCTCAGCGATCCGATCAGCAAGGCCTAGCCTGGTCCTCAGTGATCAGATCAGCAAGGCCTCACCAGACCTGAGCCTCTGCTGAAAAGGTTGTTGAGGCAGGCCCTGGACCTCAAGGTTTTTGAGGCAATTTCTGGCACTTTTTTAATTTAAAAGCTGGTTTTTGCTCTTAAAGCTGTTGATTAATATACACTTTAGTCCTATACTAATACAATTACAGATTTGGAACCTTGACACCATGCAGGCTTAAGTAGGTTCAACAGGACACAGCTACAGAGAACTGGTGGAAATTTGGACTGCTTGAGAACATAGTTCCCACTAACATGTTCCAAGCTTTTTAGCTAATCAGGTGTCTAAATTAACACAGTGCTACTTCTCATGTGTAGAAAAGGAATTCAGCTGAAAATAATCCGTGCAGTAAAATTGGATGTGGGGGGGGGGGGGGGGAGACTGGCTGACCTTTACCTCCACATAACTTTACACATACGATTGTTCATTTTAAAAGTTTATGTGAGGGGCCAGAGCAAAATACAGTGGGTAGGTACTTGCCTTGTACACAGCCATATGGTCCCCCAAGCCAGGAGTGACCCCAGGGTAAGAGTAAGCCCTGAGCATTGCCAGGTGTGGCCCCAAAACAATTAATTGATTAATTAATTAAAAGTTCATTTGAGGGGCTGGAGAGATAGCATAGTGGGTAGGGCATTTTCCTTGCATGCGACCGACCCGGGTTCGATTCCCAGCATCCCATATGGTTCCCTGAGCACCTCTAGGAGTAACTCCTGAGAGCATCGCCAGGTGTGACCCAAAAAGAAAAAAAAAAGTTCACTTGAGGGGCCAGAGCTATAGTACAGTGGGTAGAGCATTTGCCTTGAATGAGTCTGACCCAGGTATAATCCCTGCTGCCTCATATAGTCCCCTGGCCCTGCCAGGAGTAATTACTGAGTGCAGAGTAGAAGTAGTCCCTGAGCATCACCAGGTGGGGCCCAAAAACAAAAAAAGTCCATTTGAAATATGAAATGTTGGTAACTATTGTACATACCTGAGGGTTCATTCATGTTCTCTCTACACTTCTCCATTTATAATATTTCATAGTGAAAGTACATAAACCATAAAATAAAAATTACTTGAGTAAACTGGTATTTTATATCATGATCATTAGTCTGGTCATAAGGAAACTACACATACACAGAGTGAATCATATTTCCTTTTAGAAGACACTTAGGCATGTCAATAAAATAGCTGAATACAGAATTGCTAGGATTTACTAAAACAATAAAAATGTTTTAAAATTTGCAAATAAAGTCTCAAAATTTTTGCATTAAGAATTGTGTATAAATACTGATAATCTCTTTTCCACTCTGGAAAACCACTGTGCAGTCCTCTCTGCCCCTAAATGAATTAGTCTTTTCAGTGCTAGAGTAGTATCTGGCATTTGGAAAATATACCCCAGTCTCTGAATCTGTTAAAATAGCAACCTAATAGGAGAAAAGTAACTTTACATTTATTGATGTAAACATAAAGATTCAGCTGCCTATCAGCCTTCAAATT